GCCCTGGAGAGAACAATCATGGGAGAAGGAAGGGCTGCTTATGCACAGGGAGACAGCTCAGGGCGCAGGAGAGTATGGAGGGATGGCCACTGGGAAGAGGTAACTATGGGGAGGAAGTGGGAGGAGAGCCGTTGCTCTGTAAACTGTGGTCAATGACATGAGACAAATTGTATGTGAACTGCTATATGGAAAGTGAATTAGCTCTGTAAATCTTCACCCAAATCACAATAAAATAAATAAAAATAAATAAATAAATAAAAATAATGGCTATTACCTGTAAGTACTGTGCTTCGTTAAATTATCACCTAAATGAGACCAGTCAACAATTACTTTTTCACAAGATGAGAATTTAAGGGGCAAGGAAATTAGATTACTGAAAATGAAACAACCAGAGTGGAAATATTGTGAATGTTCACACATTGTGAAGAATGCCACCAAGGTCACTGAGCAATTTGTGTACAAATTGTTGAATGGGAATCTAAAATGCCATATAAACCTTCACTGAAAATACGATAAAATATTATTGTAAAATAAATAAATAGTTATACATTAAAAAAGAAGAAGAAGAAGAAGAGGGTGGAATTGAAACATTCACAGACAAACACAGGCTGAGAGACTTCCTGTCCACCAGTCTGGCTCTACAAAAAATACTCGTGAATTTTTTACAGATGGAAGGGAAAAGGCACTAGAAAGAAATTACAAGCCATACATAAAAATAGCTTTGAAAGTGGTTTATAAGTTTTGTCATGATGTAATGTAGCAGACATGCAATGATACCCCATGATGTGATCTGATGTGATAAGCGGATCAGGTGAAAGAGATCCATAATAAAAGGAATTTCATGGACAAGTATAAGGGCTAATAGTAAAGTATTCTTAATAATTCTAAAAAAAAAAAAAAAATTAACTTTCCCTATGTATACTTTTGTTTCCAAATTTCCTACAGAGAACATGTATTACTTTTAAAGTATATATTTCAATAATTCCAATGCAAAAAGTCATTGCATGTTCATGATAAATTAAGTGAAAACCCTATAGGATCATATCCATTGTGGGGTGTATGTGTGTAGAGAGAAAAGGATATATGGATACATACCAAATTTGTGGTCACACAAGGAGGCATGATTTTCATAATATACTTTTTTATATTATTTGGCTTTTACCCCCATTGCGGATGTAATAACTTTATGCTTTCAAGTTTTAAAACAACAAAAACAAAGTAAAATGCATTTCATCTTACTTTTTAAATTGGCACATCCAAAATTTAAAGAAATTTCGCACTGGCTGAGATATTTGGCCTTATTAATAATCTCCATAGTATTCTATAAGGGTTCTACAAAATGTGTTCTACAAAAAAATAAGAAAGAAAGTATTCTACATACGCAATCTCTTCTTTCTAACATCAAGCAGTTTTTCTTCCAAGTCCCAAGATTCCTATTATTAAAAATTAAAAAAGCACATTATTTAAGAATAAACCTATAACCTTTAAATTGTTGTATTTATCTATTAGTTCACGTTTTCTAAAGTGCCAGTTTTCAATTTCCCCATTTCACACAACAAAAGGGAGGACAGCAGCTTAAATTACAAGCAGCTAATTAGCAACAGTAGTCAGAAATAAAGAAATCATGAAAAAGAGAGAAATGTAAGCATAGTAAATTCAAATCATACCAGTCTCTTTGGACAATCCTATTTAATCATACAAACTACAGTTACCAGCAAGAAGTTGTTACTGAAATCACTGGAGAGAAAAGCAGCCTAATGTGCAAGTTTACCTGCTGTAATGTCATTATTAACTTATTTAGCTCTAATACACGTTTCATGCTATCTGTGAGCAAACTGAAAGAGAAAAAGAAATATGATTAATTAGCTTTAGTTAAAAATAATAAATTTACTTTTACATCAATGAAATCAATTGGTATATACTTACTTTCATCAAATGCACTGTAAATTATAATAGAAAGTCTTCATTTAACAAAATAAATCTGGAAAAGTTTGATGTAAACTTAATTTCTGTCCTTTCAGTACAGTAAGTTTCTTATATGGCATTTCTGGCCTTGGGTTTATATTATAATTCTGCCAAAAATGATTGTTGGGCCACAGCCTGCCCTGTGATTGGTTTATTTTAAAGACCTTGAGGGACTAGTCAGCTTACTATGCAAATAAGGTATGTAAAACCACCTAGTAGGATTAACTGTCCTTATAGGGATTGGTTGGCTTGTAGCCTGGCTGGGAGGACCATGCCTTGAAAATGACAAAGAGCTTGCTACATAAGCAATTAACCTAATGGAGGTTTTCAGATAGAGGCATTGAGAGAAAGAAGGAATCTCCTAAAATGAGATGGTTCAAGAGCTATAACACTGAAGATGCCAGAAGATAGCAACAGCAATATGAGCAGCAGGAACCGTGGGAAGGGCAAATAGCTATGATGGTACCTGCTGGTCTACAGAGAGCGGGCTGAGTGCCTTCGGGCAGGAGGCCTGGTGGCAGAGCAGGGTGGCTCTGGGCACTTGTTGAAGAAGCCAAGAGACATGTAACACTTGCCCAAGCAGGACAGAGGCCCAGGAAGGCCCAGTGATAAGGTCCAGAGGCTGAGAGAAGGGCCTACCGGCAAGAATGGCCAATAAACCACATCCAGCTACCTGGACAGAGCAAGTAATTGGACCTGTGGGCTCGGGACCATGGTTACAGAGGACATCAAGCTCAACTGCCATAATATACTACAAAAAAACATTGTTCTATACCCTCCTTTGGTGAGTAGTGAGTAGGGTCTTAAAAGCTTACAAGCGGCCATTTAGATGCAACAATGGGTCTCTCTTTGTTCAGAGCAAAGAAGAATGAAGAAAACCAAAGACACATTGAAACAATTAGTCCAAGGGACTGGTAGACCCTGCAATCCTCGACCTATATGACCATGAGACCAGAAGAACTAGATGGTACACGGCTACCATTGTCAACTACTTGGAGGGGAATCAGCGCAGAAGATCCTGGATAGAGTGGGAGAACAATGTGGAACAAAACTCAAAATCAAAAATAATGACCAGGTTTGCTGGTCTGATAGAGCCTGGTGAGTCCTCTGAGACTATGGCTTCTGGCTACCCTTCAGGTCTGGAATTGAACTTACTTCTGTGGATTCCAGGCAAATAATAGACAGGCATATGGGCTGAACATTCACATCAGGTAGACACACTCCTTGGAACAATCAGTCACAGGAGAACAGAAGGGCAGCGTTTGCACAGGAAGACAGCTCCGGGGAAGGGAGTGCGTGGGAGGGAAGGACACAGGGAAGAGGTAACCATGGGGAGGGAGTGGGAAGAGCACTGTTACACTGTGGGGAATAGCAGTCGATGTCATGAGACAAAATGTGTATGAATGGCTGTATGGAAAAGGAATTTGCTTTGTAAACTTTCACCTAAATCACACACATACACACAAAGAATGGCCAAGAAAAAGCTAAGAGCTGTCTTGTTTGCAAGCTGTCTTGATTGAAAGACTGTATCTTCTCTCTTGAGTTGTATCCTCTAACTTTCAAGTTGATCCTGGTACCAAGTTGTAGCCTGTAACTTCTCTAAAAAACTTCATAATCATGAGTATGGGCTGTCAGTTTTGTGTGGCCACTGTTAACAAATTATCGAACCCAGTACAGAAGAGTACCATGGGGTGTGTGTGGTAACGGCAACTGGTGTCAGAAATTGTGGTAGTTAAGGTTATGTGTCAACTTGGCTGGGCCTGGCTGAGTGGCAGGGCAGCTGGAGGTAGTTATTCCCCATGATGAAAGTGGCAATCAACTCCATGGTGGGATCCACCACAAGCAGCTGAGCAGCTGCTTTAGGGATGTGGTCTGCTTCCCGGATATAAGCAGCAGCTTTGGGAATGGTCTCCAGTTTATGGCATGCTTGAACCCTGCATGTAGCCGTGTCGTTGTTCAGCAGCCTGCCATGCTCTACCATTCTTGGGACTTTAATGGATTTGCATCAATGACCTACTGTGTTATTTGATAACACTGGAACTGTGCCATTTTATTTGTCGACTGTGGGCTTGTTAACCTCAGCAGCCAGTAGCTGTCTGAGTGAAAAGATGCCTCTAGCTTCAGTGGGCCAGGAGAAAGAGGCAGAGCTAAAGCCGAATGTCGAGGGGCTTTCACCCAGCCCCTAGAACCTGGCCCTTTGAACTCGGACTTAAAGCCTCCAAAACTGTAAGAGAATAAACTCCTGTTTGTTCAAGCTATTCCATTTGTGGTATATTCCTGTCAGAGTGACATTAGATAAAAACAGAAATGGTGAAAAAACTGGAGATCTGTTATAATGTTTTCAATTTCATTTCTCATTTTGGTTATTTCCATCTTTTCATTCTTTTGTCAGTTTGGCCAGTGGTTTATCAATCTTATTAATGCTAGCTAAGAGCCAACTTCTAGTCTTGTTTATTTTTTCCACTGTTTTTCTGTTTCATTTATTTCTGTTCAGATCTTTATTATTTCCTTTCTTCTGGTAGATTTGGTCTTCTTTTGCTCTTCCTTTTCTATCTGTATAAGTTGTTATTTAAGTTATTGATTCTGGATCTTTTTATGTACGAAATTTATCGCTGTAAATTTCTCTCTGGGCACTGCTTTTGCTCCATCTCAAAGGTTTTAGTATGTTGCATTTTCATTCTCACTTGATTCTAAGTATTTTTTAATTTCACTTTTGATTTCTTCTATGACCCAATATTTTTTATTATAGGTATTTATTTTCCTTGTTCTTCCTGTTATTGATTTCTAGTTTTATACCATTATGCTCAAAGAATATGCTTTGTCTAATTTCAGTCTATTTAAATTTATTGATGCTTGCTTTATTGTCTGAAATATGGTCCATTCTGGAGAATGTTCTCTGTGAAATGGAGAACAATGTGTATTGTGCTACTGTTGGGTGGTGTGATTTATATATGTCTGTGAAATTCATTTGGTTAATAGTGTTGTTTAAAACTGAATATTGATTTTCTTTCTAGTTGCTTGTCCATCATTAAGTGGTATGTCAAAATCTACTATTATTGCCTACCACTTGTCTGTTAGAGAACATCAAGAACATCATGCAAGAAAGCAAAAGGTCATTAAAATGATAGGAAGGGAAGAAAAGACAAAAATGGATGTCACAAGAGACTCTGAAACTTACTCTTAAATGGAGAGTGGCTAAAGTAAGAAGAAATGTTGAAATAAAAGAGCTGAACAGAAAAATAAGGACTATACCTCCTACTTCACTGGGTAGTTGTTGGGTTAAATCAGATGAATTGCTCTTATAAATTTTCATAGTATTTTCAGTGTAAATACTAAATAAAAGTTAACGTATAAACCCTTCTTTCAAAATTTTTAAATCACCTGGGTAAAACCTCCATTGTCTTTTAGGGTTATGATCCATAAAGAAAAGTTGTTTAACGTTGAGAGCCTCCACAAAGTTCCCTCACTTTTCTCATCCCTTAATAAACATGTGTGGCAGTGAGAGTTAATTAAAAATAATTCACGAAACTTACGCCATTATGTAGATCTCCTTTCTTACTCCCATCCTTACCAAATCCAGAACAACAACAATAAAATAATTTACCTAGTGGTGGTGTTAACTTTCTCCAGGTTATCTTTAAGTGCAGCTGAAAGTTGTATACTATGAGAGGAAAAAACTCGCATTAAAAAACATGGATAACATTTATATTAAAAAATTTAAAAGTACAACCAGTGAAAAAACTATTTCTCTTGAAATATAAAATATAAGTAGGTTTCTAACAGCATTGCACAGGAAATATTTTGATACATCTGCATTATTATTAAAATCCTAGAAATATGAAATAACACTGAAATGGATGGACATTGTGAATCGCCAGGCTGAGGGGCTGAATGGAACCTGAAATCCAGCCTGAACTTTGCTCCCCAAGTCATCCGCTTTGGCCCAGAGCTGGGAGGAAGCATTAGGCACTATAGAGATTAGCACCAGCTAAAAATGGAGAGTTAGGGAATATAAAACCATACTTGACTACACATTTTAAAACGTGCACACTACAAATAAGCTCTGTAGGTTACTTTTTTTTTTTTCTGTAAGTTACTTTTAAAGTCAAATAGCTAACAAATAAGAAAGAATCAAACAGTAATCAACTCAGCAATAAACGAGTTATTTTTTTCTGCCACCTAAAGATTCAATTCATTAAAAGGAGATATCTTAACATCTGTGAAGTTACTTTGATTTAAAAATATGATCAATTTGGTGAGCCAGTAATATGAAATGAGGGAAAAAGTTCACTGCTAGAAACAACTTAACGACTTTTTAATTAGATGTATGAAGAAATTCATCCGGGAAACCCAGGGTTATTCATTTAATTTGGATTATTAATTAAAATCACAAATCTGTAAGAGATCATGTTTGTCTTATTAACAGCTACATACTAGCACCTAGCACAAAGCTTAGAAGACAGTAGGAACTCAAGTATTTGCTGAATTAATTATAAAATACAAATATAAAACCTTCAGTTAAAAATGTAAATTCTTGACTTGTGGGCTCGGGACCATGGTTGCAGGGGATATCAAGCTCAATTGGCATAACATACTACACAAAAGCATTGTTGCACATCCCACTTTGGTGAGTAACGACTGGGATCTTAAAAGCTTGCAAATGGCCATCTAGATGCAATTATGGGTCTCTCCTCATCCAAAGCAAAGAATAATGAAGAAAACCAAAACCACACGGAAACAATCAGTCCAAGAGATGGGTAGACCATGTGATCCTCAGCCTATATGACCATAAGACCGTAAGAAATAGATGGTGCCTGGCTACCACTGTCAACTATTCAGTGGGTGACTGATGCAGAAGATCCTGGATAGAGTGGGAGAACAATGTGGAACAAAACTCAAAATCATAAAAAAACACCAGGTTTGCTGGTCTGATAGAGCCTGGTGAGTCCCTGAGACTATGGCCCCTAACCACCCTTCAGGTCTGGAATTGAGCTCACTCCTGTGGCTTCCAGACAAACAACAGGCACATGGGCTGAACATTTACATCAGGTAGATACACTACTTGGAGTGAACAGTCATGGGAGAATAGAAGGGCGGTCTATGCACAGGGAGACAGCTTGGGAGGGGCAGTGGGAGTGCATGGGAGAGAAGGACACAGGGAAGAGGTAACTATGCAGAGGAAGTGGGAAGAGAGCTGTTACACTGTGGGGAATAGCAGTCAATGTCATGAGACAAAATGTGTATAAACTATTGTATGGAAAACAAATTTGCTCTGTAAACTTTTACCCAAATCACAATAAAAATTAAAAAATAAAATGAAAAAAAAAAGTATGAGTTCTTGATGACAGTTTTCTTACTGGATTAACAGTTACTAGCATAAATAAATTCATGTAATTCTTTGAAATACCAAATGGGAAGTAACATCACATTTCTTTTGTCTTTTTTAAGTTTCCTTATAATCTTTCAAACTCACAGGAGCTCTGGTGGTGCAGTGGTTAAGGTATTTGGCTGCTAACCAAAAGCTTAGCATTTTGAACCCACCAGCTGCTCCACAGAAGAAAGATGAGGCAGTCTGCTTCTGTAAAGATTTACAGCCTTGGAAACCCAATGGGGGTTACTATGAGTCAGAATCAACTCAACAGCAGTGAGTTTAGTTTTCTTTTTATTTTTTTTAATTAATCTTATGTAACTTTTTCAAATGAAAGTATCAGTGACTGATACAGATTTTCTCTCAGGGGTCAGAATTTGTGTGACCGTTATCTAATCATCAATCACTGCCCATCCCCCCATCCCCATGTTCTGTTCATTTCACAACAGTTAAGCAATAACCTGGTAACCAAAAGGTGGACCGTTAGAACCCACCCAGAGGTGCCTCAGAAGCAAGGCCTAGAGTTTTACTTCCAAAAGATCACAACCACTGGAAAATCCCATAGAGTGCAGTTTTACTGTGAAATACATGGGATCACCATGAATCAAAATCAACTCAAGAGCAATTGGATTGGCTTTTTTGCTTTTCACAATGCTTACACTTAACATATAATAATTACCTGTCTAATGCAAGGTTTTTCATTTCAAAAGCAATTTTTGCCTCTTCAATTTCATTTTCCAGGCCTTCAATTTCACTAACAAAGAAGCATGAAAACAGAATTTCAGCAATACCAGAAACAGTCATAACATTTTAGAAGTAAACCTTTGAAAACAGTAAAATGTTTTGATTTATAGAAAAGTATTTTACACGTTCACCATACTGATGTACATTTACAGATTTGGTAAACTGATGCCCCCTGAGATACTTTGCTAAGTATCTTATAAAGGGTTCCCAGAAGGTGATGATGTAATCATTCACATGCATTTAAGTCTCCATTTCAAATATACAACCTCCCAACACATGTGTGACAAATTATTTGGAAAAATAAGGAAAAGAAAAAGAAAGACAATGTCCTTAGATGGACAATATTATTTAATCAGAATCACAAAGAAAACTGAAAAATATGACATACGCTTCAATCTGCTGCTCTTGCATGATTTGTTCTGGAGTTTTATCTTCATCTGTAAATAGTTTTTTGAAATTAGTAACATTCTAGAACAGCACTGTTCAAGATAAATATAACGTCTAAGGAAAAAATGCAAACCATACATGGAATTTTAAATGTCTAGCTTCCACATCATAAAAGAAAAGCAAGTGAAATTAATTTAAATATACTCTATTTAACCCAATATAGCCAATATATCATTCTAATTTGTAATCAACATAAAACTTTTTAATGAAGTATTTCACATTCTTTCCTTCTATGTATATTTTACACTTATACATACTCTTACACTGACACCTCAGTTAGGACTAACCACATTTCAAGTGTTCAATTGCTAGTGGCTACTGTATTAGATAGTACAATTTTAGAATGATAGGAAATAAATTAATTATATGTCTGTTAGTAATAAACAATTGGAAATTAAAATTAACAAAACAAAACACTGAGTACAGTGGCATCCAAAACAATAAAATACTTAACGATAAATTTAACAAAATATGTTTATGACCTCTACATGGAACACTAACAAACTGCTGAGAGAAATTACAGACCTAAGTAAATGGAAAGATACCACGCACATGTATTGGAAGGTTCAATATTGCTAATATAATAACTTTCCCATATTGATTTGCAGATCCCAATAAAAATTCCTTCAGACTCTTTTTCTGTACAGACTGTTAGCTGATTTTAGAATTCATATAGAAATAGAAACAACCTAGAATAGTCAAACAATTTTGATAAAGGATAACAAAGCTGGAGGACTTAGAGTAGTTGATTTAAAAAAAGTACTCTAAAGCCACAGTAATCAAGGTAGTATGGTAAGATAGAAAAATACCTCAACCGAACAGAGTAGAGAGGGAGTTCAGAAATTGATGCACACATATATATTCACTTCATTTTCAACAAAGATGCCGAGGTCAGTCAATGAAGAAAGGATAGTCTTTTCATAAATGGTGCTGGAACTACTAGATTTCCATATGGAAAAAAATTAACCTTAACCCTTATTTAACATCATACACAAAAATTAACTTAAAAAAAAATTAAACCTGTTGCTGTGGAGTTGTATCTGACTCATAGCGACCCTACAGGCTGACACATGACAAGATGTTCAACATCATTAGTTATCAAGTGATATTAAATTAAAACCACATGGGATACCACTAAATACCCATTATACTGGCTAAAAGCAAAAAGACTGAGAGTACCAAGTACTGATGAGAATACTGAGTAACTGGAAATCTTACATACTGCTGGGAGGGACATACCATAATGATATAGTCATTTAAAGATGTTTAACAATTTCCTAAAAACTAAGTACACATTTGCCACATGAACCCACTCTCCTACTTTTTGATATTTATTCAAGAGAACTGAAAACGTAAGTCTACAAAAAAGACCTATGTACAGCAACCAAAAGATAGCAGATAAAAAGACATTAAGGCAAAAATTATCGGAAGAGACAAAGAATGGCATTATATAATGATTACAGATCAATCCAACAAGTGGACATAACCATAATGAACACCTACGCATTCAATGAAAGAGCCCCAAAGTACAAAAATCAACTTTAACAGAATTGAAAAGAGAAATCGATAACTCCACAATAGTAATAGGCTTTACTTAATATACCACTTTCAAAGAACAGAACAACTAGAAAGAAACTTAACCAAAATATGCCCCTCAAAAAAAAAAAATTACTTCCATCAAGTCAATTAGCAACTCATAGAGAACCCTACTGGGTTTCCAAGGCTGTAAATCTTTACAGAAGTAGATTGCTTCATCTTCCACCTACATAGCAGCTGGTGGGTTTGAAGTGCTGACCTTCAGGTTAGCAGCCAAATGCCTTTCCTACTCCACCACCAGAACTCCTTTAACAAAGATGTAGAAAATCTAAACAACACAATCACTCAACTAAATCTCACAGATGTATACAGAACACTCTACCCAATGACAGCACAATAGATATTCTTTTCCAGTGCACCTAGAACTTTCTCCGAAATAGACCATATGTTAGGTCACAAAGCAAGTCTCAGTAAATTCAAAAAACATCAAAATACTATAAAGCATCTTCTCAGATCACAATGTTATAAAATTAGAAATCAACCACAGGAAAATCAAAGGGGTGGGGGGAAGACTTATGGACAAATGTCCATAGTAGCCTGTTCATAATGAACAAAAAACTGAAAACAACCCAAATATCCCTAACAGATGAATAAATAAACTGTGGTGTAATCATAATTGTATTCTTTTAAAATGGTGACTTTTGTTATGTGAATTATATTTCAATTAAAACAAAGTAGTCAGACACAAATACATACCACATTAATTGCATTTACATTAAATTTTAGAACAGTGCGGTCCAACACAATGTTCTTTAGTGATGACAATGTTTCACATCTGTGCTGTCCAATATGCTAGCCACTAGTCGCTGGATTGAAGTTGTCAGAGACTTCATATTACTTGACTCTATAATCAACACCCATGGAAGCAGCAGCCAAGATATCGGATGACATATCACACCAGGCAAATCTGCTACAAAGGACCTCTTTCAAGTGCTGAAGAGCAAAGATACCTCCTTGAAGACTAAGGTGCTCCCAACACAAGCTATGGTATTTTCAATTGTCTCATATGCATGTGAGAGCTGGACAATGAATACGGAAGACCAAAGAAGAGCTGATGCTTTTGAGTTGTGGTGCTGGCGAAGAATGCAGAAAGGACCATGGACTGCTAGAAAACTAACAAATCTGTCCTGGAGGAAGTGCAGCAGAGATGCTCTTTGGAAGCGAGAATGGCCAGACTTCGTCTCACCTACTTTGGTCATGGTGTCAGAAGGGGCCATTCCTTGGAGAAGGATGTCATGCTTGGTAAAGTGGAGGGTTGAGGAAAAAGGGGAAGGCCCTCAGTGAGATGGACTGACACAATGGCTACGACGATGGGCTCAGGTATAGCAAAGATCATGGAGCTGGCACAGGACTGGGCAGTGTTTTGTTCTGCTACACATAGGGTCGCTGTGAGTCAGAGACATCTTGACGGCACCTAGCAACAACAAGTCTCTGGTTGTATAGTGGTTAAGGCAGTTGGCTGCTAACCAAAAAAGTTCAGTGGGTGGCTGGAACGCACCAGCTGCTCCGTGAAGAAAGATGGAGCAGTCTACTTCTGTGAAGATTTACAGGCTTGGAAACTCAATGGGGGTTGCTATGAGTTGGAACTGACTCCAGGAGTGAGTTTGGGGTCACATATGGCTTTTGACCATTTGCTATGTGGCTAGTGCAAATTAAGAACTAAATTTTCAATTGTATTTAATTTTAACTAACTTTTAAATGCCTCATGTACAACACTAAAGTCAAATAAACCATTTGAAAAATGGACAAAAGACTTGAAGTGTTATATCTATCTGTCACAAGTCCTTAACTTGCTCCTAATGGCCAGGACAAGCGAGCCTTACATTGCTTTTTGCTTCACATTGCTTTTTGCTTCCTTATATGTCACAGTACTGCATTATGCTTTTCCCCTCACAGTCCCTAAACAAACAATTTCCTTTAAAATTGATCTTCTTTTCCTTAGAGTACTATCCATCATCAAACTCACAAAACCTTATCTGAAAATAAATATACTTAAAATGAAAATATTTACTTGCATCAACCATTGATTTATATTCAAAGAGTTGTTGTTTTGTCTGTGCTCTCAGCCTGGAAAAACAAAAACAAAATCAGAAAAGTCATACTTATTGACTGAGGTTCTACTTGTTCTCATAAACTGGAGTCCCTGGATTGTGTAAACAGGTAAGCACTCAGATGGTAACTGAAAGGTGAGAGGTTCAAGTCTGCCCAGAGGTACTTCAGAGGAAAGGCCTGAAGATCTACTTCTGAAAAATCAACCACTGAAAACTCTGGGAGCACAGTTCCACTGACACACATGGAGTCACCACGAAGCAGAACTGACTTGACAGCAACTATTACCAGCACTAATGAGAAACCAACTCTTCTTTTTCAGAAGGCAATGCAACAAAATGAATCAGCATTAAAGTTTCAGTTTCAGCTCTCAGTTTGGCCTCATTTTACCCAAAATGAGCATAAAGAAATTTAAGGCCTCAGAGGAAGACACACACACAAAAAAAATATACAGTGGGAAAACAGTATCTGTGAGGAAAAGTCAAACATTTGATTTTTAAATTTATCCTTAGTAGGCCAGAGTGAAATGGGCTTAATGAGAACTGCTGACAAAGCAGAAAGATCAAAAGGGTCAAACCAGCAAACACTAATGAGTTACAAACATAGGTTGTAATCTTCCCTGAGATACAGAAAAATAATGAAGATGCTAATCCTTGGCTAGATAAATAATTCATACAGTTTCTTAGTTGTCCTATGATTCTACTCAATTCAAAATCATACATAAAATAAGCAGAAAAGTTACGAGTAAAACAGTAATTAGATTTTAAGTTGTATTTACAAATGTTTCATATTTGCATAGTAGTTTCATAATTCTGAAATGATTTGCCTAATGACATTAGGACTTATTTAAGTAGCTAAGAAACTTATTTGAGTGCCAAGATCTACACGAATCATGGCCTCATCTACTCTGAGACCACAAGTTAGATGGTGCTGGGTTACCACTACTGAGTGTTCCAATCAGGGCCACAATGCATGGATCCTACTAGAATGGGAAAAAATATGGTACAGAATTCAAATTCTTAAAAAGTCCAGACTTACTGGACTGGTTGAGACTAGGGGACTCTCTGACACTATTGCCCTGGGATACTCTTCAAACCTTGAACCAAAACTATCCCAAGGTCACCTTTTAGCTAGATAACAAATTAGCTTAAGAAATAAGAGTATCATCCGTGAGTACTGCGCTCTTTTAAAAAATCATCTATATGAGATCAAATGGCCAAAGATTAAAGGATGAGAAGGTAAAGGAAAGGAAAACTAGATAACTGTACACAGAACAACCAGAAGAGAAATAATGAGAATGCTGACATATTGTGAAGAATGCAACAAACGTCCCTGACTAATTTGAGAAATAAATTTTTGAATGAGAACCTAATTAACTGTGTATATTTTAACCGAAAATACAGTGTTATTTAAGAAAAAACAAGTTTCTGGTTCAGAAAGGGTCAGTTATAAGAGAAAGGGGCGGGACATCCTCCCTCCAGTTGCTCAGGACTGGGCTGCCCTGCACAGATCCAGCCTGAAAATGGGGGCCCCAAGACGTGAGGCGGAAGAAAGGGGGACGGAATTAAGGGCTCGAAGGTCTTTCTAGGGGCCTCCAGGAATGTACTAAAAGCTTTCCTCTGGGAATTTCATTTAACTCCCATAGCAACTCTCCAAGGAGAGTATAATTTTTTCTCGCCCTTTCGGAGACAAAGAGGTTTAAGAAGTCTGAATTTGACCCCTGGGAATGCTGACCAAAGGGCAGTGCTCTTGGCCACGACGCCCACTTGGCTCCTGCCCAGCGGCCAGAGGGAAAAACCTGAGCAGCAGGGTCATGCGGTCTTCTGTGCTTGATTCCTGGGCGCCGGCGGCCTGTGGCTGCCCGCCTGCCTCGGCTTCTCCTCCCGAGTCCGCGATCTCGGCCGCAGCTGTCTCCTCTGGCTGCTTCTCCATTCCTGGCTGGCGCGAACAGCTGCCGCACAGAGCAGGCAGAGTGGTACCAGAAAGAACTCGGGCACACGGAGCCTCAGAACGACTCGCTTTTCCCGCCACTAAAAGGGCTGGAAGAGTCCAAGAGCAAACGCGCACTGGCCCCGCCCCTTCCCTTCCTCCTCAATACCGCCCCCTTTGGCCGGTTGCCATGGTTACTATTATTTTCCCTTTTTCCCATCCTGATTCTAACTTCTCGAAATTATTACGGGCGCACATGTAAAGTTCAAACTTTAAGCGCCAGCTATATTGTGTGCTAGGAGCTCTGGTAGCGTAGTGCCTAAGGCACTTGACTGTTAACCGGAAGCCTGGCGGTTCAAACCCACCAGCCACTCCTGGGAAGGAAGGTTGGGCAATCTACTTCTGTAAGGATACTGCCTGGGAAACCCAAAGAGGTGTCGCTATATGAGTCGGACCTCGGCAGCACATAACAAGCAACAACATATTATGTGCTGAGGTATGAGCTGGGTTGTTGGAAATCTCCCGGCTCCTGGAAACAGCAGCCTGGAGGGGAAAAAACCCGTCATAAATGGTGATTCAGCTTTGGTGCTTGGGGCGTGGGAGCGCCGGCCCAGCTGTTTTATCCATCTTGGCACTCACTTTCCTCCGAGGCATTGAAAAAAGGTGTGCGCGCCGGCTGGGTTGTTTATAACACTTTTGATCTGAGCCCTTGAGGTCCTTGCCTCTAGCTGAACAAAGAAACGAGTGGCCCAAATTCAGAGCTGCGCCCGATGCAGGAGTACAAGGCAGTACAGACACCTGAACCACAGTCTTTCTGCTGGCCTCCCCCATGCCATTTTGAATTCCCTGCATTCACACTTCTCTTGGATCTTAAGAGTCCCACCACTCCTGTCAGGTGGAGTTGAGGGCCCCCTAGTGTCTGCTTGTTGATTTAGCACGTTACACTTAATCTCTCCTCTGGAAGTGAGCAGAGATAAAAACACAGGACATGTAAATCCCTGATTTGTTTTTCATTAGGTCTGTCGTGTAAAGGCTCTGACCTTTTCAGTACGAGAGCTAAGCATCCCATTTCATAGCTAGTTTCCCCAGAATTACCCCTGATCACACAATGGGGTTTTCTTCCTCCTTATCAAATACAGCTTGAACAGCATTTTCATGTATGGAAAGGCAGCATCAACAGTCAAAAGGTAAATGACAAACTTGGAAAGCCTTACATATTGATAAAGATTAATAACCTAATGGCAAAGGGCAGCTTGAAAAGCCAACTCGCAGATATAGAAACAGGCAAAAAATATAATTTATTAACCTAGACATTACAAGTATACATTGAAACAGCAAACATTGATAGGATATTTTTTTGCTAGTCAGTCACGGCAACTGGAGACTCCCTCCAGTACTGGCTAGGATGCAAGGAAAGCAGCACTTTTATACATTGTTAATGATGTTGAGGACGTCATCAAGCAGTATCTGTACATCTTTGGGGAACTTTATGTACACCAAACCAACCCCCCTTTTAAGTACCCCAAACAATTTATATACATGCCTATGTTTATGTCATGGAAGGATATCCCAAACTTGATATCCTTCTTTTCAGGTGGATAGGTAAATTATTTTCTTTAGATATTTTTCTTAACCAAAAAACAAGAAGAATAGGGTTTAAAAGAACATAAAATTCTTATTCTTCAAATGTGAAAGAGATGACATTAGCTAAAATTGATCATTTAAGAGACCGTGATAAAAGTACATTATTTGGAATTATGGAGACAACCACCAGAAAAAAGAGCCAACAAGGAAACTAGGGGTCAGATGGTAGACTTTTACTTTGATGAATTGGCTTACATAAGCAGTTTGCCCTCCAGAAGTAAAAGTTTTAAATGCCTTCACCACCTCAGGAGTTCACATGAATTCCCTGACAATTCACATTAAGCAAGAACCACCAAGTATATAAACTACACAGGCAATAATTATTTACATTAGTTGGGTTCCTAGATAAACTGAAAGCAGCTTATGTTTTTTATATTTCCCACTAGACATTTAGACAACTTTTAGGAAGCAACTAGTGGAGGCAATCACATCGAAGTGAGTTAAGATATAAAATGTAAAAAGGGCCACAAACTTTATTAAAAGTAAGTAAATGTAACATATAATATGTACAGACAGCACATAGTGCCAATTTTATTTGCAGGTATTACAGGATTCCAACTGAAGTTCACAAGTTACACCTTTGCCACAGCCTTGGCTAGGTCTTGAACTAGTGCAGAATTCAGCTGTGCTAGAGTGCTGATCTTAGCATGTTTAGACGCAGCATACTTGTTCTTGATAGTCTGGAAGAGAAAAGCAGTGGTAATTAATGAAGGAAAACATACAAATGTCTCAAGACCCAAAGGTACAGATATTCATTTAAAATATCAACTCCTCAAAAATGCATTTCCAGGCATGAAGTATTCATTATTTTCTCTCCCCACACCCCCAACACTCCCAGTGCCACTGACTGACTCACCATGTGCTTTGTAAGCCCTTGATTCACCATGACTATATTCTTAGCCAGGTGCTGCATAACTGGAAAAAGAGACTCTTCAGTGTACGACAGGTAATGCTGCAGAGTTGGTGTCTAAGACCACAAACGTGAGTGTTAAAAATGCTCATCAACTATAATTTTCATAAAATACCTTCTTGCTGTTAATCAAGGGTGATGGAGGGATGGGTATCTATAACTGATTACAATTCAACTTTAAGACCCCTCCTTCTCTAGGTGGATACCCTCCTTTCATGCTTCTGTAGGAACCCATGCTTAAATCTAAACTACAAGAAAAACCAAACCAAACCAAACCCAAATTCACTGCCACTGAGTCGATTCCAACTCATAGCAACACTCGTGAGTTTCTAAGGTTGTCAGTCTTTATGGAATTCCATGGAGTGGCTGGTGGGTTCAAACTACCAACCACTTGGTTAGCAGCCACATGCCTTAACCACCTCAGCTCCTTGTGCTTAAACCTATTATATACTAAATGTATTCAAACCTAATTACACTATTTCAATTGCTGACTTGTCCACCTCAAAGTTCAAGTTCCTAGAGGCAGATTTTTTTCATTTATAGTTCTATTCCTCAGGCCTATCACACAGGAGAAATATTTGTAAATTAGTCAGTTAATATGAGTAAACTTTTAGTAAACCCTTTGATCTGCCTGAGTTCCTCCATCTCTAAGATGGCCTAAAACTGCTTTGCCTTTCTCAAAGGGGTTATAGAAAGATGAGATTAGGCCATGAAATAGAAGCATTCTTTGAAGACTTTACAAACAAGTTATCATTTTTAATGATTCTGTCAATAAATTCTCTAGGACCCATTTGAATGACAAAAGTTCCACATTCAGGAAATTACCACTATTTGTAATTGAAAACTTTGAGGTAATCTAGGCTTCACGCCTGTGGTATAAGAGCTTACCCATTCACCATTATCAAGAATTTTCAGTGCTAGGCAAAAAGCTCCAGCTGCAATCTGAGAAGGAGGAAAGTGCACCATATCGTAGTCCAACATAGTTAGTTCCATCAGGTATTTAGCCAAAGTATGTTGCTCAACATCAACCTGTAACAAAATCCACAGGTCACTATGCTACTTTCAGAGCTTTGTCTCAGTGGCAATGATTTGTAACTACATTGGTATGTCCACATTTGTAAGTACAAATGATATTTTTGTACTATAAACTCCCAAATGCATTGCCTACGGAAGGCCTTAATAATATCATTAACACGCAGCCTCACTGGAAATAAAGAACATCTTTATGCCTTCCCCCGTTGCTGTTGTGGTTGTTGTCAGTTGCCGTCAAGGTGATTCCAACTCATGGTGACCCCATGTGTGCAGCATGTAGTCAGGTATATAAGATAGGTCAGCTGAATTAGACCAGGTCAGCAGCAGTACTCCCGTACCATTTCTCAAGAGATCTGTTTACCTCTCCAATCTTGGATGCTCTCCGAAGGAAGTGTAGGGGCAGAGGGCGACCCAGACCAAAGTTTAAAGCTCTTAGAATTTTCATTTCCATCTGTCTGATCTGGTGCTTAGTGTAAGTGTGATCAGTCACAAAGGCAAAGTCACCAATTTCTGGAGGGTACATTTCTTCATATTTGCTTGCAATAAACATGGCAGTGACACCAACTAGCTGCAACATCTTCTTGGGCACACAATTATTCTGCAACAGGAATTTCAATTGGATGAATAAGTAAGATACAGTCAAAAAAGTGGACACAGAAATACTCCCATAGCAAATCAATTAATGACACCCTCTCTCCCAAGACATCTTTAACTTTTCCTGCCAATAACCAGCCTTAAAAGATTTGCTACGATGAAGACAAGGCATACCAAACCAAAACCAAATTCACTGCTGTAGAGTCGGATCCGACTCACAGCAACTCCTCCTTGGATTTCTGAGGCAGTGTAACTACAGAAGTAGATTGCCCAACCTTCCTTCCGAGGAGAGGCTGGTGGGTTTGAACCGCCAGCCTTCTGGTTAGCCGTCAAATGCTTTAGGCACTACACCACCAGAGCACCTAAAGACTATGCATAGGGCAGGAAAACAATTTTTTTTTTTAATCAAGCTGAGATGAAGCAGAGCTGTTTAATTTGCTTTCAGCCACAGTTCTTGGATTTCAGACCTGTAAATGCTATCTAGTTAATACTAGTAGCTGAAAAGCTCAGTTTCTTATGACTAAGCTAGGACCCTAGCTAAATTATTGAATTATGTTTACCTGCATGAACCGATCAATGATGGAAACAGTCATGTACATGGTTTCCTGCAGCAACCTGAATTTCATTTGAACCTGCACTAGCCAGTCGATTAGGATGGCTCTCATGTTTCCAGTGACTTCTCGACCCACTAGGTATTTCGGTCTGACTGCTTGTTCTTCCTACAAAAGAAATGGTGGTTATCCTAAGAGGCCAAGCTCCATGGGGAATGTCTGTCCCAAATATCAATTACCAAAGAATAGTTGTGGAGCATTTAGAATCAGTAAGACAGTTTTTAACTCAATTATTCACACAGTCACTAGAAACAATGCCATCACTGAAGAAGAAAGCAAAACACTAGACAGGGCAATGTGTTAAGTTTTCATATAGATTTCCCCACACACTGCTCCAGCTTCCTCCCAAATAAAGACAATACACTATCATCTCAGATCTTTTCACTTAACACTCTAAATTCGAGCTTTATGAAGTAGAGGAAACTCCAACAAAACAGATGGAATAGAGAGATCCTGCTAGAATGGGAGAAAAAAGTAGAACAGAATCCCAAATTCTTAAAAAAAAAAAAAATAATAATACAGAGTTACTGGACCAGTTGGAGATCAGAGGATTCCCTGAGACTACTGTCCCGAGATGTTCTTTAAACCTTGAACTGAAACTATCTGGTGGTCACTTGTTAGCTAAATAACAGATTGGCTCATAAGATAGAGAATCTTTCAAGTACGGTGCTCCTTTAAACAGATCTATGAGACCACATGGTCAACAATCACTTTAAAGCAAAGATGAAAAAGTAAGGAGACAGAGAAACTAGATTACTGGAAATGCAACAACCAGAAGGGAAACAGAATGTTGACACGGTGTAAAGAATGTAACGGACATCACTGAACAATCTGTGTAATAAACTGTTGAATGGGAACCAATTTGCTGTATACACTTTCACCTAAAACACAGTATTATTTCAAAAGCAAAACAAATAATTGAACAGATCTGATAACTATATAGTTTATCTCCTTAGTATACAGAATGTTTCCTTGTTTCTTTTTGGGAAAGAGCAAAATGTCACTAATATAAAGTTTCCTAAGTGGGATGAAATAGAAGAAATAAAAAATTTTAATCCTGACTTTTTAATACACTCCTTTTGGACACAAAGAACAATTTCCTGAAAATCACATGCATATCAGCCACACTGGCACAAAATGCCTTGTGTTGGGGATGATGATAGTTTTTCACCACCTCTCATCCCTGTTCACCTCATGCTGCTGTTATCCCTCTTAGATCCAGAGAGTTTGGGACTTGCCATCTCCCAACTGTGATGGACACAGATATCGTTCAATCTAGATTTTCCAGTGACATGGTATCATTAGACAGAGCCACACTAGTGGATGTTAACTTTAAACTTTCCCCACTCAAAGAAGCAAATAAAGACTCCATTGGTTTATCTAGCGATATTTTTAATCTTTGGTATTCCATGAAGGAGAATTTGACAGTTATAATATATTTATTGGTTAGATATGCAGCCCTTGTCCTTCTTCAATTACTGTAAACCATTAATGGGAAATATCTTTAATAAAGCTAGATATAGTTTAGTGAAAACAAACACTAATGATAGTACCTCAAGCTGTCTCAGATAAGCATAGATATCTTTCACATATTCACTACAAAGGTTTGGATCAGCTCCATCTTCTGCATCCACATCACTCACTGCAAGAATTACATCAGAAAAAGCCTGACACAGATATTCTTCTGCAGGGGCACATCCAGATGTTTCCATTGGGCTTGGAGAGGGAGTATCCACCTTGAAACAGAGAGACCTCTTGAAACAATAGCAAAGAGGAACACACACTATAGTTTAGGAAAGAAAGTCAGACTGGTACCAACTTAAGAAACCATCTGCTGAATAGACATATAATAATTCATTTCCTAAAAGGATTTATTCAACTTCTTTTTAAGGTGTGGTTACAATATCGAAAGTAAAATGGCAACTTAGACTAAGCCAGTTTTAAGTCGGCAGAACTTAAGTACCAATAGGTAAAATATAATAGAAACAAATGGGTTCATATTCTAGACTTTCCTAGGAAGGAAACTGTTAAGTAATGAATCTGTTTATTAGCACCATCATGTTAATCCATATGAATGATGTCAATCTTCTAAATGTACACGCCTTTCTTTCAAAACATGGGCTGCTTCTCAAGTTCTGTCCCAACTACTAAGGATTAATTGACTTATAATTATGCATTTCTCCCCACTGTTCAAACATTTATTAAGCACCTTCTTCAAGTCAAGCTCTGTGCTAGGCACCAGCTTTAGAGTCCTCAAGGAGCTTAAAATTTAGAGAAGATAAATAATGTGATTGGTTCTAGGAAGAAGGTAGGATGGTGGAAGTTTAGGAAAACTTTAGGAGTAAATGCTTGAGCTATTTTCAAGGATGAAAGGTTATTAGGGAGATAAAAGAGAGGGTTGGGAAAACATTCTTAATAAGTAGAAAGTCAAAGGCAAGAATCAGTATGGGGCTTTTACATGTTTCATGTGCTAGGTCCAGAAGGTCAATACTAAAGCAATAGGCTCAAATCTCTTACCCTTAGATATAAAAAACTAGGGTGAATGACTTTTACAGATCAGCTTTCCAAATAGTCTTAACTAAATTTTAAAAATTAGAGCCTCAGAATGCAGTTCATTGAACTTTCAGCAAAACAGCTTCTAGATGGCCCTCCTTTTCACAGGGATTGTTGTTTGTCATTGTTGTTGTTAAGTGCCATCAAGTCATCTCCAAATCACAGCGACCCCACACACAGCTGAACAAAACATCACCCAATCCCACGCTAGCTCCATGATCCCTGCTATACTTGAGCCCATCGCCGCTGCCACCATGTCAATCCATTTCGTTGAAGGCCTCCCCCTCTTTCGTCGACCCTCCACCTTACCAAGCATGACATCCTTCTCCAGGGAATGGTCCCTTCTGACATGACCAAAGTAGGTAAGATGAAGTCTGGCCATTCTCCCCTCCAAGGAGCATTCTGGCTGCACTTCCTCCAGGACAGACTTGTTAGTTCTTTTAGCAGTCCATGGTACTTTCAGCATTCTTCACCAGCACCACAACTCAAAAGCATCAATTCTTCTTTGGTCTTCCTTATTCATTGTCCAGCTCTCACAAGCATATGAGGCAACTGAAAATACCATGGCTTGTGTCAGATGAACCTTACTCCTCCCTCAAGGACACATCTTTGTTCTTCAGCACTTGAAAGAGGTCCTTTGCAGCCGATTTGCCCAGTGCTCTATGTCGGTCCGACTTGACGGCACATAACAACAATGTACATCGTCTGATGTCCTGACTGCTGCTCCCATTGGCATCGATTGTCACAGGGGTAGATATTTTATATACTTAATGAAAAGTTCTTGGCTCTTGAGGCTAAGTGTACCTTGTACATCACCAAACCTGTCATTTTCTTTGGCAAAATGATACATTGAGGGGATTGCAACTAATGTCATGAAACAAAAAAAGTATACGTTGTTGAATGGAAAACTAACATGCTCTGTAAACTTTCATCCAAACTACAACTTAAAAAAGATACCATTCATCCAAGATATAATTTCTCTTTCCCAGCAACATCTCCAGTTTTAGCACATAGTGTTGCTGGGAGGGGAAAAAAAAAGACCCTAAATATTCTCATAAAGAGCTTTCCAGAGGCATACCAGAATGGGAGTGACAATCCTATTAAACTGTGGTATTACTACTAATGCAGTGGTCTAATTAATGTCACACTAACATGGTTTATCTACAGAAACTAGATGATTAACAAAGGGGGGCAGTATAAGAGAGCAAGGAACAATATAGGTTCTTATGAAATACCTAAAACAGGAAAAAGTACAGAGACCAAAGTTTATTAGTGGCTACTAGAAGTAGGAGGGAGGGGGAGGGGGAGTGACTTGTTAGGAGGCACTGAGTTTCTGTTGAGGGTGATAGAATAATTTGAATACAGATAGTGGTGATGGTTGTACAACGTGTGAAAAAATGTTTCTTCATCCTACATGTAAACATACTGAAATGGCAAAGGCTTTATTATATGTAATTTTATACCAAAAAAAGAAAAGTCTAAGTTTCTGAAGCTAGACAGCCTGGGTTTAAATCCCACTTGTGGCATTTATTACCTATGTGACTCTGGAAATGCTATTTATAATCTCTTGAAGCCATTATCTTAAAAATAGATGGAATAATACCTACTTACTTCAAAATATATGGAGGAGCCCTGGTGGTACAGTGGTTAACCCAAAGATCAGTGATTCAAACCCACTAGCAGCTCCATGGAGGAAAATGTGGCAGTCTGTTTTCATAAAGATTCAGCCTGGAACACCCTATGAGGCAGTCCTCTGTCCTACAGGGTCGTTATGAGTCAGAATCAATGGCAACAGGTTTGGTACTTTGGTTTTCCGTGTAATGCATGTTTATTACAACTATTTATTCAAATGCTACTCCACACATGAGTGAAATAAGGGGAAAGATATAATCAAGAGATTCTACAGCAAGATAAGAACGAGCTTACCATAATAGGCTCAGGGAAAAGCTTTTCTTGGTTAACAGGCTCAGGTTCTAGCTCTGGCTCTGGCTCAGGCTCAGGGTCTTGCAAAGGTGCCTTTTCTAGAGGTTTTGGCAATTTTTTGGCAAGAACTTTTCCAGCAGCTGAAGTTTTTGCTTCCTGTAGATGGAAGAGAGAATGGAGTGTTTCTCCATCAAGAGCCACAGGTGGGCTCTTAAGAAGTTGGGTCAAGAAGATAGGTACCTTTTTCAGAGGCATTTTGGCCTGCGGCTGATCACTGACTTTGTTACCAATGTCTCCAAGAGCTATTCTTGGCCTCAGCCCGGGCTTGGAGGCTGCAACAGTGGCCACAGGCACTCGCTTGGCGCCTGCCATACTGATCTTCGCCTTATTATCAGCATTAATTTTCGTGTTCTGCAAGAAACAAGAGCACTTTAGAGCTTAGCCAGGCTGAATAAGTCAAAGGTTAATTAAGGTAGGGCACAAGAGAGGTTCTCAGGAGGAAAGCTGGCTGGAAATGGCTGGGAGGGGAAACCTGAGCTGTCTACGTCTGTGACAAGCCACTTCTCTCTCCGAATCTCTTCTTTGACTTTAATTGAAGGATCTCGGTGAAGGCCCAGAAGCTCTAAAATACCGTGAATTTACATTTGAAAGAAACGGAAGCCTCCATTTGCCCGCATCTTCTTTCCAAAAAAAACATATAGAGTTTATATGGTTGGTGGGGCTCACTCTGGGGCCTTAACTCGCCTTAAAAAAAAAAAAAAAAAAGGCTTCCTTCGATCCTCCCTCTCCCTCAAAATACTTATCCATGGCTCTTTCACGTCTTTTTCCCACCTTTCTCTCAGTCCATCTGTCCTTCCTTACCCTAAACCCCCTCACCATGCAAGGAATTTACCTCGGCACTCCCTCGGAGACCCTCCATTCTCTTTCCCAAATCACTGCCCGGGTCATCTCCAGCCAGCGGGTGCCGCAGGCATGGAGCGAGGAAAGTTGCGTTTGTTCTCGGTTTGCTGCAACTCACCCTCGTGACTCGCAATGCCATGGCTACCTCTTCACCAGGCAGCAATTCGGAGGGAAGAAGCAGAATTCAGGAGCCCCAGGAAAGCTGGGGACCAAGAGCCACCACCGAGCAACAGCCGTTCCTCCGCAGCACGCCGGGAGGAGCTGGCCCCCGCTCGGGTTTAAACCCCGCACCGCTTCCTCCTTATTGGCTTGTTCGTGGCACTCACTCCCTTCTCATTGGCGGTTGCCAGTTCCTCCGAGAATGCGTTGCCAGGGAGATCCCGCGACGACGTTCGAAAAGGAGGCGGGGCCAGAGTCAGGCTGCCTGCCAAGTGAGCGAGGCTAGAATACCACGTGGTGTAGTAAGGCTGCTGCGCTCTGTGCGCAGCTGCTGCTGCCACCTGGAAAGGCGAGTCTTCAGTGCCCACCAAGCTTAAGCAAGAAGCCTGCCTTGTGGTGCTTGAAAAGTGACAGTGGAGTGGGCAGCAGTTTCAGAGGCGTTAAAGGCAGTTACGGATCCATTACTGCTTATTGTTAAACACTTTCCTCTTCTACATTGGCATGTTCATGAAGGGCTTTGATACTTGATATACATTCTTTCATTGGATCATTCCTGTATTCCTCTAGGTGGAGGAGCCTAGGCTCAGAAAGGCCTAGGTGACTTTGAGAGAGTCAAAAATTAGTAATGCGGGGACTGAACTTAGTTTTTTAGTTTCTAGATGTTTCCACATTAACTAACACCCGTTTCTTAACCTGCCAAAAAGCCTAATTGTTTTCCAAAGCCATAGCTATACCTATATGGAAATTGCCACGAGTCTATTCTAATTCACGGTGATCCTACAGGAGAGAACAGAGCTGCCCCATAGGGTTTCCAAGGCTGTAAATCTTTACCAAAGCAGATTGCCGCATCTTTCTCCCACTGAGCAAGGCTGATGGATTTGAACCGCTGATCTTTCAGTTTACATTCTCTGGTGGTGTAGTGCCTAAGGCATTTGACTGCTTATCAGAAGATTGGCAATCAAACCCACCAGCCACTCCACTGAAGGAAGACTGGGCAATCTACTTCCACAAAGATTTTCTGCCTCAGAAACCCCATAGAGTCCCTATGAGTTGGAATCAACTGTATGGCAGTGGGTTTGGTTTGGTTTATATGTATATCTATCTATCTAACTAGAGAGTGCAAATGAGCTCTGGTGGCACAGTGCCTAAGGCAGAAGGGTTGGCAGTTCAAAACCACCAGCCACTCCTCAGAAGGAAGATGGGGGCAATCTACTTCGTAAAGATTTACCACCTTGAAAACCCAGTGTGCGTGTGTGTGTGTGGGGGGGGGAGTGGCTATGAGTCAGAATCAACTCTATGGCAGTGAGTTTGGTTTTGTTTGGTTTTGTATATATACAGGTGTATATATGTGTATATTTAGAGAGAGGGAAATAAACATGCATATGATGCAGTATATATATATATATATATACACACACACACACACACACATGGTTTTTTCCCCTGAAATGTTTTAGGATAGGTTATATACATTATGGTACTTTATTCCTAACTTCTCTGGTGGATATTTTCTAAGAAATTTACAGTATTTTAATATTTTATTCAGTCTAGTTTATATTCCAGATGGCTTAATAATGTTCTTTATAGCATCTTCCTGACCCAGTACAGGATCTAGTCTAGAATTAGATGGTGCATTTAGTGACCATGTCTCTTTAGCCTCCTTTAATCTGGAACAGTTCCCACAGCTTTTCTTTGTCCTTGATAGCATTACTCTTCTATAAATATGCAGAAGCCCCTCCCACCTTTTTTTTGTTTGTGTGATGGTTCCTTGAGATTTAAATAAGACGCTCTGGTGGTGCAGTGGTTAAGGCATTTGGCTGCTGACAGGTCAGTGGTTAAAACCCACCAGCCTCACTCTGTGGGAGAAAGATATGGCAATCTTCTTCTGTAAAGATTTACAGCATTGGAAACCCTCTGGGGCAGTTCTACTCTGTTCTGTAGGATCACTACGAGTTGGAATGGACTCAATGACAGTGGATTAGATTTGGTTTTGTTATTTAAATTGGGGTTTGCATTGTTGGCTGTGATACTGCATAGGTGATGTGGTCTACCTCTCAGGGTATCACATCTGTAGACACACCAGTCCTTCATAGATAATTTTAATTTTGATCACCACTTGGTTAAGGTGGTGCCTGTTCTCACAGAATTATTACTGTTTTTTTTTTTTTTCCCCATCTCTATTATAATTAAAAAAGTGAGGAGACATTTTAAGACCATGCAAATAGTCTGCTCCTCATTCAATTTTCCTCTAGATTTCTCATCCATTAATAATTCTTGCCTTGTGATGTAGTGGGTAAGGCATATGGCTGCTAACCAGAAGGTCAGTGGTTCAAACCCACCAGCTGCTCCATAGGAGGAAGATGAGGCAATCTACTTCTCTAAAGATTTGCAGCCTTGATTAAACACACCACTCAAGAGACGGAGAGTTGCAGATTGGATACAAAAACAAAACACATCAATATGCTGCCTACAAGAGACGCACCTTAGAGATAAAGACAAAAATAGACTAAAAATCAAAGGTTGGAAAAAGATATATCAAGCAAATGGCAACTGTAAGAGAACAGGAGTGC